TATATATATTATTATATATATATATATATATATATATATATATATATATCCTATCGATGAAGATGTATTAAAATGATAAAAATCTCGTTTTAAATAACTTTAGTTTTTAATTGCACGTCACATTTCCTCATAATTTTATTTTTTAATTCTTCTTCTTTAAACAGTTTGTTCTATTATTTGATATGCGCGTAATATTTCTATAAATCTATAGCTATATTTATATAGAAATTAACGAAAAATTAAAAAGACTTTCCCTATGATGTATTTTTACATCAAAAATTTTATTAAATTGTTCAGTTAATAAATTACGCGATCACGTTATCGCAATTTATAAAATCAAATATGTAACTGTAAATAAATATCCTGTATACTAATAACATCCGGAAACATGAGAAAACCGCGGAAATTACACGCGGATATGAGCTCAAAGGGTTAAAAAAAACTAGCACTTAATTTACTTCACAATTTCTCCTCGACCCAACATCCTAAAAATCCTCGAATCGAATATACCCGCCGGATAAACGAAAGATCAAAGAACACTTCCCCTCCCAAAAACAATTTATCGGCTGCACGATCACGAAGTCACAATAAAATACCAGGATCGAAATTCAATAGCAATTCGCCGGTCCATAAACAATTCCAACATCCTTAAATCACGTGCATGATGTTCGTTTCGTTCGGCGCGTGTTCCTATTCCGCGATTCGAATCTCGCCGCGCGGCTGCGCCGTGTAGCGGTACTTTCCTAGGGGATTTTTCCGCCTCGGTGTTTAGCCGTGAAACCAGCCACAATAAACCATAAACCATGGCCGCGCCACGGTTGTCTTAATTGCGCGTAATTAATTTGTCCACGTCGCGTGTGTAATAAAATGCATCTCGATGGAATGATCGGTGTGTCTTACGAAAAGTTGTGTGCATCACGATGTTCACCTTCGATCGTTTCGATTCTTCGACCGTTTCGATTCTTCGACGAAAAGACATCCAGTGTTAAGAGGTGAGGTTAGAGTGAATTATAAATCAAATTATAGTCGAGTTTGCGGTGCAACAAGCTTTGGATTGTTATTAAAATGATGGCGTTTGAATTAATAACCGTTAAAATAATATATTGTTTTATTTGGGTAAGTGTTATGTGAAATAATTATGCGTTTGTTTGTTGGAAAGGATAAGTGATTTTTTTCTTGAGGTTCAATTCTCTAGGTTATTTGAAATGAAGTAATTTCTTAAATATTCTAATTGAATCTGTTTTGAGATTGTTTTCATTCGCTATAATAATAGATTTATCACAATATTTTTCTTAAATTTTTTTAGGCGAAGATAACTTTAAGAGTAAAAATTCCATCAAATGAAAAACATGATAAACGTGATTTCCTTAGAAGAAAATGAATTCGTCGGTATATTTGATGTGATTTCTGTTTACCAAGATTCGTTGTGGGAATGAAAAAGTTTGTAATAGGGTGAGTTTAAGAAAGTTTAATTGTTTGAAGAAATTATAAATTTGTTAAGTTACTTGGTTTTGATAGAAAAATTTAACAGAAGAAAGAAATTTAATAATTCCTACAATAATTATAATTATATATATTAATTTATACATATATAAAATACGATAAATTTATAGAAATTACATGGAAAAAGAATGCACTTCACACATCTTGAAATATCCAAAAGACAAAATCTTCAAGGACAAAACTTTATTATTTAAATAGTTCAATAATAAAAAAAAAATTGAACTAAAAAATATTAATCATGCAACAAAAATTTTAATAGAAGATTTTAATAGAATAAAGTAAATGACACATATTACTACATCATTCAAAAAGTATTTTAATTGAAAAAAGAATATATATAGAAAGTACTTCAAATAAATTAGATTAAAATGTATTAATATTAAAATGTAAAAATCAATCAAAGGATAATAATAAATTACCCTAACTTAATCTCAAGGAAAATTAAAATGGATAATTTGTTAAGTGATAAATTAGAAAGATTAGAATTTCATTTCTTTTCATGAATTTATATGATTTTCACCAACAGAGAGCACAAGTATATACGCAATGAAGCCAATCAATCGAGTTCGAATACACGAGTTTTGCGATAGGTCAGTTGGCATTGGGAGCAGCGGTATGAGTGAAACACTTCCTTCGATTTTTGAAACAGGGTTGGAAAGTTATCCGATATCCTTTCACGGGTGGATCGCGGTCATATTTGTGCAACTGTCACGAAGGGACACTTTACGCAAACCCTCTTGTGTACTGGCATTATATCAGATTACCGAAATCTGCTGGTATACGATTCCGTTCGTCGATTGAGATACAAACGCGAGGCTCGTGAGATCGGATTCGTAAAGGATGCGGGAGTAACGAGATCCCTGTTGTCTCCTGTTTCAGGAACGAAAAAGAGAGTGGACGATGTGGTAGCGCCCAGGACCATTCACGACATACCGGAACACGTTCTCACGTGTGGCCTCACGCTTCCTGGTAAGTCTGACAAATTTTATATTTTTATTTCGATGTTAAAACTTTTTAATTTCTAATTTCTTTTTTTTTTTTTAAATTCTATTTTCTACATTTCCTCTGTTATTTTAACCGTTTTATTTGAAATATACTTTAAAAATTCGATCGATAGGAATTAATTTAGGCTCGTTTTTATTAAATATATTGGAAATAGCGATTTTTTTAAAATCTAATATTTGTGATATTTTAACTTTTTTTTTCTTACTGGAAAATAAAACAGTTTTGATAAATAAGGGAAAATAAAGTATGTACAAAAATGATATGATTATAAATTATAGAGTGTAAAAAGGAAGTTATACAAGTTGAAAAAGGATAATTATTCAAGTCAAAATAAGTTGATAATTTTTTATATAAAACTTCATTTTTGTCATTTGTCAAAAATTATCTCCTTTTGATTTGTATCTCAATTTTTACAAATCCTGGTGCAATATTTTATATCACATATTATGATAAATATCTTTCTAATGAAAGATAATTAATTAATTATTCATAATTCTTTAAACATCATTACCAAAAATTACATTAATTAACAAAATTATAATTTCTAATAAAAAAATTAGGACCATTTGCATTTTTCAATATTCTTTTATGTTTTTAATAAAATTTAAGAAACGAAATTTAATTGTAAATTTTAATCATATATTTCACATGTGCATTAATAATTCGAATATTATGATACATAATATTTTATTTTTTTTTATTATGTTTAGATATATATTGTATAAAATTTTTATCCATGATGAACTATTGAGAATTGAGTGAATATTTATATTAGGATATCAGTTATATATATGATAAGAGATTGAACGAATGCAACATTTGGATTTCGAATAATTGAATTGGATAATAATTTAATAATTTCTTAACTTGTTAAGGAATTAAGACAGAATTAAGTTAAGAGTTAAGAGTTTAAAAAGAGAAATAAATCTAAATTTTAGAATAGAATAGAATATTAGTAAACGAGCAAAAGATTTTAAACATAATAGTTAATAAAAATTATTTAAAATATCGTTTACATCTTTAAATTTTAGTAAATACACAAAAAGTATTGAAAATAAACGAATAATTATAACTTTTGAACAAAAGAAATTACAATCTAATAACTAAATCATCAAACAAGAAATCAATTGTCAATATTCAAATCTCTATCTATAAACACTATCAAACCCTATTCTATCAGTATTTATTCGTCAATCGTCGACCAAACAAATTCCTATCATTCTCTTAATTCAATACAATCTAAACTTTATTTTCTTCACAAGTGGGTCATTAAAATTTTCATCGAACAAACAACCTGATACACTGTCTTAACATAACACAGGACTGACGGATAAACCTAGAAGTAAAATTGATTATCAATATTTTATTGATAGTGATATTTTCTATAATATCGTTCAAATATCGTGAATGGATAGAAGAAGAGTGGAGTTTTTTTTTTTTTATTTAAAGTTATTATTTAAAGCACGTAAAAATATTATTTACTTAAATTCGCGTTATTAAAATATTTTAACTGTATCATGTGAATATTAATACGAAATAATCAATGAAATATCTATTTAACGATATCTTTAACAATAAAGGAAAAATAGAAACTCTAGTTACTTTTATCTCTTGTCGATATCTTAAAGATATTATCGATATGTCGAATGATATCGGTAACACGCCGATATTATCGCCATGTATCGATAACAATATCGACAGCCAACAATATCGATCGTCTTATCGCAGAGAGCAGAATATGCAGAAGCCAGGACACACCCACTGCCTCTTAAAGCCCAATTCACACGCCTCTACATCCTTGCCAACCACGTATATTTACGCGCTTTAAAAGGCTTCTCTTATTGTGCCTACGGTCCTTTTCCCTTCTTTATATACGTTCCTTCCTCTATGTCCCGTTTGTCCTTTTCTCGAGGCATTCACTCGAGGATGTCTAACTGTATTCTCGCGTCGAGAACTTAGTTAACGATTAACCGAGCATGGGATAAAATCGGTGCAGGGGTTTCTTTTTTTTTCTCGAGAAAAGATATTGCGAGAAAGATGAGATACGTGGCTTTGAGAGAGAGGAAGTTGATGTACTCTTGGGATCTTATGGGTTGTTCGCACGAGGAAAAGGATGGTTTTTTCTAGAAGAAGGGTTTTTAAGAGGGTGAAGGATGAAAGGGTGTTGAGTGTTTCATTCTTTCGGAGAGATTCTTGTTGAGAAAGTTTTAATTTATGATGGAATTTGTGTTTTATTCTGTATAGTTAGCAACTGTTGGATGGATGGTGGAAAAAATGAGTCAAAAATAGTTTTGAAAGTTTTTCTCAAAACTTTTACAAACTTGATTTTGTAACCAATTTATATAATTTATTATGTAATTTTGTATCTGAAAATCAGATATTATCCCAGTTAGAAAAAGTGTTGTAATCATAAATTTAATATAACATCGTATTTTTAAATTATCAATCCATCTTTGTTATTTAACAATTATTATATAAATGCGGTATCTTCAATGTTATATCGATAAAGCAAATTGAATTATTTTATTTTTTTTGTCAACTAATAATAAATTTAGAATATATATATATATTGAATAAGTTAAACGCATGGTAAGATAAAGTACAGTTTTTAATTTTCGAAATAGAGAAATAATGCCGAAAAATAATTTATTCGTCTTCCATTTTTACGTGTAAAAATTATTTCTCGACCAGTTTCTGTCTGCTGTCGATTTCGTTATCGTAGCTTTCCATTCGTGCAACAATTTCCAACCAATGTTTCACATGTGCGCATCTATTACCTTCCCCTTTTGGAACGTATAATTTTCTCGCATTCCTCTCCACTCTCCACCATCGTTTCTAAAGAGGAGGAATCATAGGAATTGAACCACTAATGCGACTAATTCGAAAAGAAAACATCCTAACCGTACTTTCTCGTGATCTTTATTAAAACTCTGTCGAGGATCGAATCTCTCCACACTCGTTGTTCCATCGTTCCTTGTTTCGAAAATCTTTGGATTTATATACGCCGCATAAATTATATCTATCGCCACGCTTCGTTCATATAAACGTCATTGTCGTGTTATTTCTTCTCTGTTTATAACGTAAACAATTATTTAATATTATTTAATCCAAATAATACAATCGTCACATTTGTATTGACAGTAAATGGGAGAGGGTGAAGTGAGAATTATCGAAAGATTATTTTTCATCTCTACAATGCGAGACTACATGTGTAGTAATATTTGAAAGATAATAATGATAAAGAAATCGTTTTTGATCATTAATTTTTCAATTTTATTCAAAAGTTTGGAAGCAGTAAAAAATTTCAAATAAAGCATTTATTTAATAATTATTATAAAATAATTTTAATTATTTCGTGCAAAAGTACGTGTTTCCAAACTTTTGAACGATAATATATATCGATACATGGGGTTCATTAAATTGCAGAAAACCAAATATGTCGATAAATTTATTGAAAATTGAAAAATATATTTTGAAAATATTTATTTGTATTCAAAATCATTGCACATATTTGTAAAATTTATGATATATATTTTTATAAATCCAAAAATTTTTATATTCCAGAAACGTATGTCTCTTATTTTTAAACAAACTTAAATAAACTATAGGAATATCGATATCGTCACGTTTAATTAATTTTTCTCGTTCAAATCGGAGAGAAAAAAAGAAACTTACACCAGCAATTTAATATCGCTACAACGCTTCCTTCTTTTTCCTCTTTCTTTCTCTCTCTCTCTCTCTTTCTTCCACTTGAGCATCCGCTTTCTCTTTGTAAATATTTTCTCCGCCATTTTTCTTCCCCACTCCCCATTTTCTCTATTTACAAGCTACTTCCTGTTTCTCGTTCGCGAAACTTGTAGTTGATTGTGTCCTTCCCTCGGTCCACGGTTGTTCGTTCTATCGTCGACGCGCACGTTAAACAGTAAACAAAATGAAAACGGGACACTCGTCGTCTCGAGTGAGGAGCGGACAAAGAGGTGCTCGCCTGGAATTCAATTTTAAACGAAAACGCTGGCGAAACGATTTCTGTGTCGCCTTTGAAGATGAGTCGCGTGCTCCTTCGTGTTGCTTGTTCAGCAGAGAGAAAGAGAGAGAGAAAACTCGAAGGCCTACCCGTCCGTTTGCGAAAGAATTTTTCATTATTTCGACGTTACACCGTTTTTGCGCATGCGCGAGATAAGCGAGGCGAGTTTTTCTTTATTGGCTCGTTGAAGGCGGTTAAAGGTTTGTTTGTTTTTTGATCGTAGACCTGTAATCTTCCACCGTTCGTTTACTGGCTTTTTACAGTGTTGTTAATCGGTAACACGATAAAAACGGAGCAGCTATGCGTGGTAAAATTTTTGAAAACGTTGGGACAATTACACTGTCGCCGTCAGCGTAGAAAGTAAACGTATAATGTGCCCCCTAAAATCCGCGGATGGGTGAAAGGAAAAGGAGAGTACTATGCGTTTTATATCTAATTGGATATTCTTTACCCACGTTTCGCACTTTCTGTTTCAACGTGCATCTGAATCGAGTCGGTAAGGTGATTCTCTTCAGGGATTTTTAAGAATTGATAACGAAAGTGACTCGAAATCCGTGGTGAGAGAGCATTACATGCGAGGATGTAACAATAAGATATTTTTTAAGGGTAGCAGTGAAAATATTTTTGAAATTGTGGAAATTATGAAACTCCAAGTTCTTTTCTTGAACTTTTAGGTTTAGGCATTAATATTTTGAATTTGAATTTATAGACTTGGATCCTTGAATTTGGAGATTCATTTGTAATCTTAATATCAATATTTTAAAAAATTATAAATTTTTAAATTTTTACTACTTTGAACTTTGGATGCCAAATCCAAGTTTCTTTTTGATTTGAATATAAGTTTTTGAATCGAAATATTCTTGCATTCGATTATTTCTTAATTGAATTTTAAAAAATCACTCATATTATTTTTTTAAAATTCACTGCAATTTACTCAATA